ACATTCAACAGTTTGAAGTTTATCGATGTGATTTGCAAGTAAAATGTTCTTTTTTCCACATGGGACTACCTCTGTCGTCGCCTTCAAAGCGGCCCTCTACTTTTTCATGGATAAGTTATTAATAGCTGATTGAAGAATAGTATTCGTTTCTACCCATATAAGCGTTTCGGTTGATGTTTCATACTATCTGCGGAATTTAGTCTTATTTCCGCTATCCCATATACCGTATCGTCACTGGCGTACACCTACCTACGAATGTCGATTCTGTTCTGGTTAGGTGAACACATTCCAGCTCAGTGCTTTCATACTCTCAAACAAATGGGTTCCCATTTCTTGTTCTCTAAAGTTTCTCAGTGTTCTTCCGGTGTAATTTTATCCTTAATTCGTGGAACACTGAATTTTTTGAAGCGTTGTGTCAGTTTTACAGCCATGTTTATCAGCTTCCTATTCAGCTGCGGGGAAAAGCAAATTTTACCAACTTTTCTAATTCTAGTATTAAGTTGCATTGAATTGTCTCAGATTTGTTTATCCCAAGATTTTTATTGTAACAGTCGCTCTGTTTCACCTGAGTAGGTTTTCAATAACTTGTATACTAATGTATTGGTTAGGTGTAATTAAAGCGGTTAATAGAGGGGGGGATAGAACAGTGGTAGTGATGCCGATCACCACGAAGACAGCGCTGGTTCCAACTCGCTCTATGCCCGCCAGGTCCGTCATCCCTGCGAGTCGGGAAATTAGTACCGGACTTGTCCTGGAAAAAATCGCTTTCTGCAATCTAAGATCGACTCGAAGCCTCCAAACGGATTGCTCTAGCCACGATAGCTAAGCCAGCAAGACTCCGAAAAAAATGGAGATTATGCTGTGGCGCAACCATTAAGGACGGGTCATCTAAGTATCCAAGTATCAAAATGCGATCGATCCGACCAGTATTCTACGACATACAAGATGAAAGGAAAATTTTCAACCAAAATCCGAAGCCACATACAGATGCTGGAACACCATCGTAGGTGATGGATGCGAGGAAACGAACCGAATGCGGGAATTCCTGGGACTGACACAGTAGATTTGAAGAAGGGTCATATGAAATTAAAAAGGAATTGAAACAGTGAACAAACCTTGAATGTAAGCGAAAGAAGCCAATTTTTCATTCACCAGCTTTTTTTCCTTTAACCATGGAGATTTCTCAGGCAGCGCTAAATGGCGCATGCCCTAGTCTAAAATATCTAGTTAAATGCAGGATAAAACCATCCTAGTTGTGGCCTTAAGGTACGAGTGGATTAACGAGATGACTTTCCTCTCTCTGTTGCTCCTGTTCATTATTTACTAACATCTTCTATATCTACGTAGATTTATTGGTGCTTCAATATGCGCGAATTCTTACCCATTCATGGGTTGTATCCTGAGTGTTGATTCGCCCATGAGCCGAAGTAACTGGAAAGGGCATGAGAGGTGGTTTAAAGTTGCTTTTAACATATGAGCTCCGATTTGCTTTAGGAATGCCTGAAAAACTACTTATGAATGTGTTTTATAACCTACTTTTATTAAACCTCGGTAAGGGTGATCAATAGATTACATGATTGAGCTAATACGGGATTGGTATGGAAATTCTGCACCGCTAACACTTCGGCCCCTTCAGCTCATTTAGAACCGCATTGATCCGAGTCGATGGTTCATGATTGGTCGTCGTCGCGATGTGTATGTTTATGGTCCAAAAAATCTTACTAATTTTTACTGTTTTTTCTCGGAAATAGCGAAACACAAAGCGTACTAGTACTTGATTCTAAGAAGTCTCCGTTAGGTCAAGTGTGAAAAGGATGCTAAAATTCCAGCGCCTTTCCAGGATATCTAAATGAGGAAGGACTACGATGACAAAATTTGCTTGTAAGATACGCCCATTAGCAGCAAATGTTTCCATTGAAGACCTGGTGGCGTACGCTAGGAAGATCAGTTACTAAGCGAGAAAGCATTGGAACGCTTTTTATAACATTGAAGAAAATTTGTTCTCAGGAATATGCGATGATGAATAGTTGGCAAGGCCAGTAATCTCTTCAGTGCGAACCGTTTTACGAGCAATAACTCATTTGTTCGAGTAACGACCTCAATGGTGCTTTCACGACAAAAAATTGTCTAACCAATGCTTCGAATATGCTCATCGTCTACGCGCCGAGGTTAAGCTACGACGAAGCAGTTGTTACGACATTTCATATGAATTTGGAGAGTTCTCTCGGCAATTTCACACCTGTTAAGACTTCACTAAATCACCGACGATGTCAGTTCCAACGATGTCCGCAGGAGAATTTCGCGAACACATCACTTCGGAATTGAGGTCCGAATGACATGAGCAGAGTGAGCGGCTGTTACAGAAGATCACTCTCGAAGTTAGACGTAGAGAAGAGCATCAAAATGAAGTATACTACACAAGACAGTACGAAGGTCTTGGCTAATTGTTAGCTTTATGGCAATTCATTCATGTCATCACTTGTACAAGATTCTTCCTTATACAGAACGGAAAAATCAGCGGCATTTGAGGGAATATTTCCGGAAACCGTCATAAATTGGAATTTTTTTTTTGCTTCCTCGGTCGGCCTTTGGAAGGTGTTGTCGTCAAAATCAATGAGGGTTCATCTAATTTTTTCGCGATAGTGCTAAAAGACGTTTTCAAGGTAAGCTGGAAACATCTCCGCAAGAATCTCTTTGGCAAGCAAGTCGATACGGTGCTTCGCTAGCCACAAATAACAGATGTGTAATCATACAGAGCGAAGACTTTAAGGAGAGAAGAGCATCAATTTTGACTTCGAAGGTTAGGATTAGCTTCTGCAACCCCGTGTCTTGTCTCGGAAAATTAAGAATCTGTAATAATCACCTTCAGCTGTTCAAGCGGAATAATCACTCTATTTAAAATGGTAGTGGAATGGTAAGAAGTCATCTAGGATGTGCACTCAGATCTTTTTATAAACTCGTCGATCTACCAATGTATTTTGTAAGGAAGGTGACTGTAAAATTGATAGTGTTTGTAAAATAGGTCAGCTTTGTCCCATATGAAAGCAAGCCTTCAGTACAACAGTAAATATTACACAATTTACTAGTGGTTTGTTTCGTGCAACCCCTTTATAGAAATCACGCTCAATAGTTTGACAAAACCTTTAAGGAAAAATGGCTATTCGGAGTTTCGAAAAATGTTCGGCATCATAGGTAATATCAGAGCAGTAGTAAAACCTACTGAAGTATAGAGAGGTAGGTAGATGATGCTCCTACTGACTTTCATCTACTTTGTACAGCATTCATTTCGTTTAAAGCAGAACAGCTATGGAAGCTTTGGGCTACGAATTTGTCTCTACTCAATAGCTTAAGTGTTAAGCTTCACAGCACCTTTAGCTTCATAACGCTATGCTTACGTTAACATCGATGTAAAGGAATGTTTGGTATCCGGTACCATTCTGCAAAATGTATTGAGCGCCACACTTAAGGACGTCATAAGAAAATTAAAAGGGGGCAACATGGCAGTAAAAACCAAGTGCGAGCAGCTGCACCATGTTCTCTTCATTGTGTTATCCTGGTTAGGGTGACCTCGGGACTCCAAAGAACCATAATGCCTAAAACAGCAAAACTCCAAAAAGTGGAAATTATGCTGGGAGTGGCACAACCAATGAGGACGGTCATCCAAGTATCTAAGTAAGTGAAATTCAATCTTGGCATATCGCATTTATGACTTCATGACTTGTTCTTCTCGGGAAGCTACTGGCTGACGAGTTCTCATTTCTTTTTTAATAGTTAATGGTGTGCCGTTGTAGTTTTCTCAATACTACAAGGAGAGTTGGTCAATCTAATTTGTTGAGACTACTGTCTGGCATTGCGTGCGTCCAGCTTCGGTTCCATGAAGTTTTTAAGTTAAATAGTTAAGTGGCTGCATTACATTAAGGGTTCTTATGTTGTATTTATTATTGAATAAAAATAAATCCCTTCTTGAGTATTATGCTAAGACGAAGTTGATGAAAACTTTTGTTCGGCAAACGTTTCGACGTCTTCGTTCTCCACGTATGCAATGATCCAAGTCAATGGTTCACAGTGGTTCGTTCTCTAGATGTGGTGTCTTCATCCTCGTATCGGGTCAACTCTTCTTCAGTGGAGTATGTGCTGGCTAATATAATACCGACTGCTCCAAGATGGATTGCCCTTTGATAAAAAAAATTATTATCAATGGGCAATCAGTGTCCCCAACAGTCGTGCTGGATGATCGGAGCATCGCCGAACGAAGTTGCTCCATTCGAGCGGCACTCCACCGAAGAAGATTCGGCTCGGTGCAACAACGTAGACACCGCATCAAGAGAGCGAGCGACAGTGGACATCGGCTCGGATTAACGGCTCTGAAAAAGATGAACACGGAGAATCGTTAACCGAATAAACGCTTTCATCAACCTCCTGTTAGCTTAGTAATTTAAGAAGGTATTGATTATTAATGCTGATTTATTCCTCTGAAGGAATAGTGTGCTGCAACCATTTTCCTCAAGTGTTTTTGGAGGTATCATTGAAGTAGGTTTAAAGTTGTTATAAAATACGTTTCAGAAAAAGCATTACACATTTTTAAAATAAGTGTAAGCTCGGAAACGATGTGCATCTCTGCTGTCTAACTAAGTATTATTATTACGAAGTGTATTTACAAATTCTATGATGTCGAGAGCCGTGATTATTTTTCTATCAAGCAAAGGGTGTGCGTAGAACAATGGTCGGATGTTCTCTGCATACAAATGGTCATTGTTTCAATTCCTCAGCCCGGATTAGCCGAAACCCCAATCCCTTGAGATCGTTAGGTTGGCACCAAATTTGTTTTGGAGAATAGGAAACACTACCTTGATACGGTAGTGAACCTCCTCAAGTCGCCTCTAGAATAACTAGTGAACTCAAACATGAGAATATTGCGAATCCACAAGGGATTGATCAATTACCAACTTCAAAGTTTCTTAATTTTTCTAATATTTTATTCTTTATTGTTTCCTTAATTGCTGCTAAACTACCTACAGACTGGTCATTTTCAGGAAAACGACATCAAGTTCGTGGACGTCGTAGTTTGCAACCTCTATCCTTTCCGTGAAACAATTGCTAATTCGAATTGCACCTTAGAACAGGCGATTGAAAATATCGACATCGGTACGTGTTTTAACAATTCAGTTATAAAGTTGGAACGTCTTTTCACATTGTCTGGTATACTTGCTGTTGAAAGCCAATAATGTTCTAAATGATTTCAGCGTAAGAGGCTTGTATTTCCTGCCTTAAATACTTTTTTATAGCAGAGATTTGAATTCGTTTATAGGAGGAGTCACCTTATTAAGAGCTGCCGCTAAAAATTACGCTCGTGTGTGCGTGCTCTGCGATCCAAGGGATTACGAAAAAGTCCTTGAGCAGGTGAAGGTTGTTCTACTGTTCTCTTTTTCCAAAAGGTTATTCTTCAAATCCAATCCGAGATATCAACTAGGCAGCCGACTGCAGTTCTACTTCTTTATCAAAAGCTGCGAGTTACTTGTTTTAGAATTAGTCATAGAAAAAACGACTGAGAGAAAGGAGAAACGAAGGATCCACATGGTGTGGTGATGAACGCTTTAGAGTCCAGAAAAGGTGAAAGCGGGCTCGATCCCAACCGCAGACATCTGCGATTCAGAGTTTTGCAAATGTCTTGGCATTATTGTGGTTATATTTCACATCATATCTTGCCATGAAAAAAGAATAGGCGATGAATAAAAAGTCTTAACAGCCTTTTAATTCTAAGAGGAATTCTTAGAGTAATTATCACCTAAAAAACTTCCAGCTTATTTTTCATCCTGTCTTGTCTATGCCTAGATTATAAAGCAATCTGTTAAGGCGTAATTGCAACACCTAAGGGGATCACTTTCACTAAGCGCATAGTAAAAAGTGCAAAGCCATTGCCATAGAGACCCATGGCAAATAATAAAATGCGCCTAAACCGCCTTCATTCAATCTCGGTTTTTAGTTATCAGAACTGACATCTCTTCTTTTCTGTTCTGTTAGATAGTACAATATCTAATCACTGGGAATTCTTTTTGAATGGGTAAATAAGTGAGGACTGTTGCTCATCGACCTAATGGCACTCAAGACTGTGCGCGTTTTTCTCGTATCCTCATCCAGCACGATGCTTTGATATCACTGTATTCTTGAGGAAGCCCCACCATTATGTCTGCAGTGCTCTTATTTCTATCAACAGCAACCATAAGTCCTTGTAGATATTAGTGTAATTTTTATTCTTGTTTCTATCGCCATCAAAGAATCCTCGCTTCTCATGTCGGAGTCATCGAAGCGCTTGAAGTTCGATATTCTGCTTTCATTCATGGAGCCCTTCGCAAAAGTGGCCTTGACTTTCTCATCGACTGTTGGCGTACGTTGTGTGGCACTGGCTTCTGGATGATGGTGGCTCGATTTGTCACGTAATTCCATTCCTAAAAAGTTTTCGAGAACATAATCCAAATTAGCATACTTCAGCAAAGTACAAACATATTTGGACGTGAAAACTAGTCAGTCTGTTTACTAACAGGGCGTTTTCGGATTTTCTGGTTGGATTCGTTCAACATTGAGCGTGGCAGTTTGATAGAGCGAGTGAGTGTTTCCGATTTTGAACGAAAACCGGATATTGGTGGATAGCAGAGGATTGTTATTTTGTTTTTCTACTCAGCTAGGTTTTAACATAAGCCTTGGATGTGGTGTCGATGTTGTGATTTTTTTTATTGCCTTTATTCACAACTTCAGGTGTTCGGTTGTTAGGTCGTGATTGTTCGGAGGCTTAGTTTTTCCTATTGTATTATTGTGCTGGCGACTGAAGAACGTCGAGGTCCATGTTTTTTTTTGCTTTGGATAAGATAAATGACGACATGGACGATAATAATGTTTTATGCAAAGTAATAAATATTTCTTAGATTGTTGAGCTTGTACGAGGTCGTTGCAGAAATTTTTATTCGGCTGACGATTCTGTACCTTCATAAAGTACTGCAGATTCAGTCGTCTGGAGAAAACAAGTTATTATCCACGGACAGTCACTTAGTAAAAAATCGACGTTTACAAAAGGTGTTGCCGAGTGAGGTTAGTTCATTCGAGTAGCGCTTCCGTCGAGAAGATTCGACTCAAGCGACTAGGAAGACCCAGATTGCGTAGGCGGCCGGCTGTGGACATTGGACCTGGATCGTAATCCCTCTGGGCGAGGCAAAGGTGCTTAAATTTTAGCCAAATAAGCATTCCGTAATAACCTCGTGCTAGCTCATTCGGCCGAAAAATTATTAACTACTCTTTCTGTAGTTTTTTCTTTCCGTGGACCCATCGGGCTTTTCAAACTTTTTCAGTAATTTTCTCCTTTAAAGTAGTTTGCTTCTCTAATTCTCAAGGAAGTTTCGTACTTTCATACATTCCTTCATTAATCATTCAAATTTCCGAAACCGATCCCAGTGGGACGTCTGAGCAATGGCGTAATTCTTTATTTGTCATGAACACGTTCGTGTTCACGTTTCTGTCCTAGTCGTCATTTTTCACTTTTAAAAAGTTAACCTTTGAATTTGACTGCTTTTGAAAAAAATTTGTTCATAAACGTTTTTAAAGTGTTTCTGTTTATGTAAAATGCAACCACAATGATACTAAGATATTTGCAAAATAATGGACAGTAGATAAAGCTTATACATTGTTTTTATCTGTATTCAGAATGTTCATTAAAGGATAGGACGTTGCTTCTTCTGCAGTTTTGCTCTCAAAAATCCGACATGTTTGATAATGAACTCTCTGTTGAATCTATGGAACCTTAAGTACTATTTTGACGAAAGGGTTAAACTTCTGGCAAGATTTGTTCGACGTTGTGAGTGATGAACCCAACAAACAAAACGCACAGGAATGGTCCACAGCTCTGAACTCTAAGAGTTTGGCCCCGTTTCTAGCTGTTCTAAACTTGACCAATACTGGTAACACTCACCAGCATGTCTGACCACTGATGCGTTTAAATGAATTAAAATTTCAATTTTGAAAGGTTTTTAAGACTAACTCAAATAGGTAGGCATGTAACAAGTGGTGAAGTGTTTTACTAGACATCGTTAAAGTTATCATTCGTTTTTTGAAAGCGGAATGTTTTCTTGTCGCAAAGTTTCTGATCATCAACAATACAGAAGAAAAAAGGCTTTATTCAAGGCGACAAGTGACGGGTCACATTTATTTAGGATTCGAGAGATTGCTGAAGATTTGGCACTAGTGCTCCGCAACGTTTGATGTTGAGCTGGATATAAGTCATCTTGTTTTTGTGTCCATCTGCTCTATTGTAAACTCAGTCGTCTCCACTAGCGCACTAGAGCAAACATAATACAAAATAGCTTAAGTGATGGATTTTTATGCCAGTTGCTTGAGTTTAGATTTAGCAAAGTGCGTTTCTCTTGAGGCATTTATCATGCCTGTTTTGACTGTAGTATTCGACGAAACCGCTTTGTTGTGTCAAAGATCTTTATTGCTGTTTCAGATCCGAAGTGGCGGAGTCACTCTGGAGGAAAGAAAACTTTTGGCTTTAAAGGTTGGTTGAATTACAAATTTTTCATGCTTCAAGTGCAAGGGATTGCGATTGCGGAGGTAGCTTTACAATGTTGCTTCCATGGAAGACCTACCAGATAGAGTTAAGAGCAATCCATTTTTTTTTTTTGATGTAATAGAAGGAACAGACTGGCTAAACAAAGCTCTTCATTGTTTTTTTGAACGGATATCTTCTCGTTAATTAATTTACGGTGATTAAAGCTTTAGTAGTTCTACAGGCTAAATCCACCACATTAATTGTGTCAGTAATTTTAACAGAAATGTATTACAATTAGTTCGAAAGGTATGTAGAAAGTGAGCAATGTCACATTGTCATTCTTCTATGTGTAAATGCTGCAGCTAACTCTACAGTATTACCATTGCTAGTGTTACTGATATAAATAGTAAGAATTTGTATCCGTTGCTGCACTACGTATCACCCCACTCAAGAGATCTAATGAGTTCAGGATGAGAACATTCTCACACCCTAGGCTTAGTAGAATGAACACACTGATGTTGATGTTTAACGGAGACAGGTAGTACGTACTGACATTCCACCAGATTCGTACAGCTTTGGGTATATTTGAACCATTGCAGTTTTGCCAATTTTTTACCTGGGAATATAACGGGAAGTGTATTTATATCTCAGTTCTTTAAATTCAAGTTACTTAAGAATGTGGGACCAAAGGGAATTTATCGGCAGTTAGAGAAGAATCTATCTGCATCGTTCTTAATCAGTGGTATAATTTTTGAGAAATTTACTCTTCTTTAATTATAATTTTAATCATAAATGATAATTTTTAATTAGGAACGCAAAACGGTAAATTGATTGGGAAAATCATTTCGGTTTTTAAGCTTCACCTTTTTAGTCCACCTATGTCAACCACGAGATTCGAACTTACCTATTTCACCTCGCTTTTGTCACTCGAAAAAAGGGCGAAATAAATTTTATGACAATTTCTTTCTGGCTTAACCAACTTTATGTGGGTTTAACCAACAATTCTCCAGAGCTTTCCAAAAAACGTTTAAATTTTCTGTTTGGTCGAGGCACTCTGAAATGTGTTTCACCTACGCCTAGTTCTAATCTACGCTTCCGAATCATTTTGCTCGGGTCCGCTTCAATTAGCGACTTCAAATGGTCATCGATGATGGAAGTGGATCGTCTCTGGCCCTCATATTCAGTTCTCTCGCCTCCACCCTAGAACTTAAGCCGGCATTTGGAATTATCTTCACTAGTCGATTCATTCTCCTTCGTCCAAATACAGCGTTGAAATTATGAGCCATTTTCGTCGCTTTACTTCTGTATTTTTGAGATGTTGCACGGTTTCGATAAGAAGTCAGAAAACTCAACACGGCAAAAACGAAATTTGTTCCGTGTACTTCTACCAGTGGAGGAGCTGAAGGATACGCCGCAATTATTTTTTGAACGAGTTCAGCTTCAACCTAACATCGAGTGGTACTTGGCATTGAATTGTGTAATGGTGACGTGAATTCGTGGTTGTTTTGGCGAGAAGGAAACGAAGGAGTGAGGATTTGGGGGGACTAAAAGTTTTTGCGATTTCTTCAGTTTCATGTAGGTCTATTTATTTTGGAATATATTTCGAGACACTGGTAAAATTTCGACTGCTGTATTTCACGGTCGAAGCCAAATTGAGAGCCAACGATTTATGGGCCTCTTGAACTAGGTGTGATTCCAAATTCATGGCTTGGAAATTTAATAGCAAGCCTTAAACGATGAGAAAATGAATTTCTTAAAGTCTCGTTTTAGAGTTAGAAGGAAGAATTCTATCGAATTAAAATATAGGCAATTCGTTCCAATGCGATTCTGTAGCGCAATTAGTTTAGATTGCAGAGAGGGAGCCCCATTGCAGAGAGGGGGCTGCACCGGATAAGTCTGGTAAAAATGGGAAAAACTGCAACGTAAAAAAATTATGAGATGATCTTCGGAGTCCATTTATGTACATACTGTAGTTTTCTACCTTAGAACTACGTACATTTTATCCCACTTTCTATTTAACATGTTCTGGGAGTCGTGAGCAAGTGAATTA